TTTGCTCTTGAAAACAATCCAAGTATATATGCCACCTTATTCAGTAAGGTTCTCTATAAATAACTGGTCTCCCCAAACCGTAGGTGCCAGACAATGGAAAGCAAAATAGAAAAGGTCATAGTAGATGTAAGTGGGACCAACCTTACCCTTAGGCAGAATTTGGGGTCATTGTTATACTGGATTTCTTGGTGTGGTGAAATTATGATTTAACTTCCCAATAAATTACCTTCCTGAGCTTGAAGATTTTCCACTTAACTTTCAGTAATTTTGGGACCAGACATGGTGGCTCACACCTGTAATCCCAGCACTTTGGGAGACTGAGGCGAGCAGATTACTTGAGGTCCAGGAGTTCAAGACCAGCCTGGCCAAGATGGTGAAATCCCATCTCTACTAAAAATAAAAATAATTAGCCAGGCGTGGTGGCAGTTACCTGTAATTGCAGCTACTTGGAAGGAATGCCTTTGCCTTTAACAGTTCATAACTATAATGCTTATTGTTAATTTTTATACACCCTTTATTAGACCAGTAGTTTGTGGGTTTTTTCTATTATTGAAGTATATTTTACACAATAAGCTGCACAGCTTTTAAGTGTTCAGTTTGATCCACTTTTCAGGGGGTTTTGTTTATCTGTTTTTTGGGTTTTTTTTTTTTTTTTTTTTTTTTTTAGAGATGAGTTTTCTCTACATTTCCGGTCTGGTCTCAAACTCCTGGCCTCAACCAATCTTCCTGCCTTAGCCTCCCAAAGCTCTGAAATTACCAGTGTGAGCCACTGTGCCCAGACCAATTTGATAGGTTTTGACAGTCACAAATATCTATATAATGTTACTCACATAAAAAAGGATAGACAACATTTTTATCTTCCTAGAAAGTTCCATCTTGCTCCTATGAGTCATTACTTCTCCTCAGAGGATGTCATCTTAAAATTTCTATTAATTTAAGATTCATTTTGCCTGGTTTTGGACTGCATATAAATAAAATCATACAATGGGATTTTGTGTCTGGGTTGCTAGGCTCAGGATAATCTTTTTGAAATTCATCTATGTTGTAGTATTTGTAGTTTATTCCTTATTATTTCAAAGTTATGTATCATTGGATGAATATACCACACATTTTGGTCCATTTATTAATATTTGGGTTATATGAACATGTATATATATCTTTTTGTAGAAAAATGGTTTGATTTTTCTTTATTAAAAACCATTCTGGGCAAGATGACAAGACTGTCTCTACAAAAATCATAATACAAAAATTAGCCGGCTGCTCAGGAGGCTGAAGCAGAAGGATTTCTTGAGCCTATGGTTCTGGGCTGTAGTGAGCTATGAGGGTGCCACTGCACTCCAGTCTAGTCACAGAGTGAGATCCTGTCTCAAAAAAATAATAACGAAAAAAAACCTAAGCAGAAAACTGCTAGATCATATATTTGATACACATATATTTAATGACACTGCTAAACTGTTATTTCAAATGGTTATACCATTCTACACTTCCTCTGTTAATGTATTAGAATTACAGTTTGGGGCTGGGAGTTCTGACACATTTTCAATGACAACTTTAGAAATCTTCGTACTTTCAGCATCTGAAATGATAAAAATCATTTACATTTGTTTTCCAATACATTCATGATAAAATTTGTTCAACATAAAATATTGAGGAAAAATCAAATAGTAAAGTGTATATAAAATATATGTAAAACTATTTTGTCACAATCTTCCAAAAAACAAATAAAAATGTGTATGTACACACATATGTGTGTTTATGTATCCATCAATTTATCCAATAAACTCGGGACAAATAAAAAACTAGGCATAGCACAATTTTATTACTCTTTAGTGTTATATAGACCTCTCTGTCTCTCTATCTCGGTCTCTGTGTCTTTCTCCATCCTGCTTGCTTTCTCTATTTTTAATAAATTATATATATATATATAGTTATGCGCATACTGTATATGTATATATATGTACATATATACACACACATATATGGATAACAAGGTTGTGAAATAGATACTGTGATCAATATAAATGAAAACAAATCATTCTTATTGCTATCAGAACTATTCATCAGAATCTATAGCTGGGAGAAGACATTTAAGTTTGTTACTATTTATTTTTATAATTTTACCCCTGCTTAAAGAGCTGGTAAATATAGAAATAATCTCCAAAGTCCCACAGGATCTTTTCTATCTGACCACAGGCCTCTGAGACACCAAACTGTGGAGACCCAATCAAGTGTAAACACTTGAGCCTAGAGAATTCTTGAATGGCACAGAAATGCTATGAAGAGACAGAATGTGGTTGCTCTAGAACTCTTGATGCTCAGGACTCTCTGTCATGCATACTAATCTGGTCTTCACCAAGGTGAGTTCAGGAAATTCCCAAAGACTAATTTTTCTGCAATGTAAAGTCTTCAGTACAAGAAATACAAATTTTGATATGTGGCTAAGGAGAAGTTCAGTATTTCTTTTGGACTCCAAGCAAAATAGATGACCATTTATTTGGGGAGTTAGAAGGAAAACAGAGTTTCCCTAACAGTTAAGTAAATTCAAAACTACCTCATAATTTATTGGAGACAGAGAAGTTCAGCTAGTAGTGACTTCCAATGAGAGGAAACCATTTTTTTTTTGCCTAAATTAATAGATACTTGTACACAGAATTGCTTCCAGTGGAAATAGTGTTTATGAAGAAATGGAAAATAACCCAACACTAGACTTGACTCCTAGGAGTTGTTGAGAGGAATTGTTAGAAGAAACTTCCCTACAGAAATTCTTCTATGCAATTCTTCTACCAGGCGCAATCCAGCATCTGTGTGAACAAGCCCAGGGATAAGAATCCAGCTGCCTGGGCGTGGTGGTGTGGACCTGTAGTCCCAGCTACCGGGAGGCTGAGGCAGGAGAATTGCTTGAACCCGGGAGGCAGAGGTTGCAGTGAGCCGAGATCGTGCCACTGCACTCCAGCCTGGCACCTGGCGACAGAGTGAGACTCTGTGTCATAAAAAAAAAACAACCAAAAAGACAACAAAAGAATCCAGCTGCCCCACAGACATGTTCTCTTACATAGAGAGCTTCCTCAGCTAAGAACTAATTTTCTGTAAATCTACACTTTTGTTCTATCTCTCCCCTAAGATACAATTTTAAATAAGCTTTCTCATTCTCCCTTTTGAAAATTAGCTTCTTCCAGTGTCCTCATGATTTCTTTAAGCTAGTTATGCTTAGCTTATGGGACTATTTGTCAGGGTTAAAATCAGTAAGTTAGGACAACAGGTATAGATTGATTACACATGGATTTGAGTTCAAACAAACTTGGATTTGGATCTTGGCTCTACTAGTTTTCAGTTTTTGCGGCATTAGGCATTTTATTGAATGACCTTGTACCTCCATTTGCTCATATGTAAAATTAAGATGATAACATAAGTCCATATTGCTATTGTAATTTTGAATACAGTAATCAATTCCTATTAAAATATTAGCTCCATAAGTGCAGAAGATGTTGTCTGTCTGGCTCACTAATGTATTTCTAGAAACTAACATGATCCTTGGCAAGTGAAAGACAATCAATAAAAGTATGTTAAACTGTGTTTTACAACATAATATGACAAATATTATAATAGATAATATGCATTGTTTACTTATTAGATGCTGGGCACCAGTGGGAAGATTAATTCTAATTTAACCATTTTAACACCTCAATGGCATGTATATATAGTATTATCACTCCCCTTTTAAGGTTATAAAAATTGTACGAAGAAAGGTTTTAGGACTTACACAAGTCTATCCAGTTAGTGTTGGGAACAAAATTTAACCGATTAAATCTGAATGGCCATGTCTCTATTGTAAAAATGCAATAAAACTCTGCTCACGTTATATTTTTAGAGTGGACACATAGTTGTCTTCTTTTAAATATATTCTAATTTACACTTAGAATACAGTATTACAGCAGTGTGCGTGGGTCTTGTATTTGGGTTGCTTGGCTCAGGAATGCTTCTGTGCATTACTGAGAATCATCTGGAAGAAGGACTTTTTTTTTCCTAAGGTGGGAGAAGAAAGAACTGGCTCTGAGTTGTCTGTCTGCCAGTTGGTATTTAATAAACGGAGATTGATTATTTAGTTACATGGTGTTATGCTTGGAAAAATACAGTAATTTTCTGCAATGGGTGATCAGTTTTAGTTTACAAGATGGCTGTGCAGAGCCAGAAATTCCTACTTCTGACAGCCTATGGTCCTTGTTTTTTTTTCTGCCAGTCTTGTGGCTCTGGTGCCCTATGACTACCTCAGAAGGAGCAAAAATATCCAAGGCATCATTCCACACAGATCAGTTCTCTTTGCAAAAGTTCCAATGTTCACTTGCATCATTACCTGGAGTTAGCAGTTCCGCTGGATAAAATTTCCCTGGATTTTATTCTTAAGAGACATATTTTTTTCATCAAAAACATGATAACATATTTTAATCACTTGAAGTCCATTGTAACTAGTCTATGTTAGCACTTACTTTCTAAAGTTCCCTCACAATCTCTCAATATAGTTGAAGTTTTCAGAATCTCATGCTATCTTTCCCACTCTAAAGTATAAGATGGCATTTGAATTGGATCAGGACTGAATTCACAAGTATTAATTATGGTAAGTTTTTGCATATGGTATGCTTTATATTGAGAACAGAAGTAATAATAGTGATTACTGATAATATTTGTTGAGTATTCACTATATACTATGTACAGTTTTAGCACATTACATAAATTATCTTACTGAATAATCTTGAACATATTCTGATTTTAGGAATTATTATCTCATTTTAGATTGAGGAAACTGAGGCATAAGGTGGTAAAATGACTTGCCAATATCATATACTAGGAAGAACAGGAAGTGGAATGTAAAGTTAGGCAGTGTGAATTCAGAGGGATTTAATTTCATTTTAGACATCTTATAGAAGCCACTGTATTCTTGCATTATTTCTCAGTCCTCTACTCAGTATTGATTTTATTTCTGGTCTAGGAAACTGCCACTGCTAAAGAGTGTAAAATGGTCTCCTCCTATCAGCCATCATGTCTGGGGACAACAGCTCCAGCCTGACCCCAGGATTCTTTATCTTGAATGGCATTCCTGGGCTGGAAGCCACACACACCTGGATCTCTCTGCCATTCTGCTTTATGTACATCATTGCTGTTGTGGGGAACTGCGGGCTCATCTACCTCATCAGTCATGAAGAGGCCTTGCACCGGCCCATGTATTACTTCCTGGCCCTGCTCTCCTTCACTGATGTCACCTTGTGCACCACCACAGTACCTAATATGCTGTGCATATTCTGGTTCAACCTCAAGGAGATTGACTTTAATGCCTGCCTGGCCCAGATGTTTTTTGTCCATATGCTGACAGGGATGGAGTCTGGGGTGCTCATGCTCATGGCCCTGGACCGCTTTGTGGCCATCTGCTACCCCTTACGTTATGCCACCATCCTTACCAACACTGTCATCGCCAAGGCTGGTTTTGCCACTTTCTTGAGGAATGTGACACTCATCATCCCATTCACTTTCCTCACCAAGCGCCTATCCTATTGCCAGGGGAATTTCATCCCCCACACCTATTGTGACCACATGTCTGTGGCCAAGGTATCCTGTGGCAATTTCAAGGTCAATGCTATTTATGGTCTGATAGTTGCTCTCCTGATTGGTGTATCTGACATCTGCTGTATCTCTGTATCTTACACTATGATTTTGCTGGCTGTTATGAGTCTGTCATCAGCAGATGCTCGTCACAAAGCCTTCAGCACCTGTACATCTCACATGTGTGCCATTGTGATCACCTATGTTCCTGCTTTTTTCACTTTTTTCACTCATCGTTTTGGAGGACACAATATCCCTCACCACATACACATCATCGTGGCCAACCTTTACCTGCTACTGCCTCCTACCATAAACCCAATTGTTTATGGAGTTAAGACCAAACAGATTCGGGAAGGTATAATTAAATTTTTACTTGGAGACAAGTTTAGCTTTACTTATGATAAATGAAACATAGACTAGACATATTGTTTGAATTGGGAAGAAAATAATGGAGACAAAATTTCTTAAAAGATGGGAATAAAATGGCATTAAAATCACGACATGCAATTTACCCATGTGACAAACTTGAACATGTACCCATTAAACCTAAAAGTAGAAATAAAAAATCAAAATAAAGACAAATTCATAAGTCACAATAATGTATCAGTTTTCTGAAGTCTCTGCAAATATATGAATTCATGTGTGTTGGGAGTGGGGGCAAAGATCTGCCAAATCAGAGAATGCAGAATAAAGAAGTAATATACTAATTACTTAAAGAGTTGATGCTTTTCCTAAGCATTTATTGACTCACATGTCTGTGAGACCAGAAAGGTAATAAAATGAGGACAGTAAACCTGGTGACAATCTATGCATTGTGTATAAGAAGGGGAGGCTATACAAACATGGGACACGTTCATCCTCTCCATGAAGAATAAATTCTACTCAGATCAAGTGCATTGTTGCCATAGGGAATGAATAAAGTACATGGTATACATAGTGGAATACTATTTTTCTTTTTAAAAAAATCACTATTTGGTGATAAAAAGAATGAAATCATTTGCAGCAACATGAATGGAACTGGAAGGTATTATGTTAAGTGAAAGAAGCTGGGCACTGGAAGAAAAACATTACATGCCCTCACTCATACATGGGAGCTGATATAGTTTATCTTATGGAGGTAGAGGAATAAAAAAATGGCTTTTGTCATTCATTCTGTTGCTGCTTTTTTTGCTGCTGTTTTATGTTTATTGATTTGCATATTTAGACAATTCTTTCCTCTGTGGGAAAAATTCCACTTGATCATGATATATTATCTTTTTGGCAAGCTGTTGGATTTGGTTTGCTAGCATTTCATGGAAGACTTTTGCACCTACAGGTATATTTATCAGGGACATTAGCCTGTAGTTTTCCTTTCTGTTGTATCCCTGTCAGGTTTTTGGTATCAAGGTAATCCTGGCCACTATGATAAATTAGAAAGAATTGCTTTCCCTTAAATTTTTGGAATGCTTTGAGGAGAATTGGTGTTACTTCTTATTTGAAAATTTGGTAGAATTTGGCAGTGAAGCCATCAGGTACTGGAGTTTTGTTGTTGTTGTTGGAAAACACTTTGTTACTGGATTCAAACTCATTATGTGTTATTGGTCTGTTTAGGGTTTTGTTTCTCCCTGATTCAATCTTGTTGGGTTGTATGTGTCCAGAAATTTAGCAGTTTCTTCTAGGTTTTCCAGTTTTTTACTGTGTAGTTGTCCTTAATAGTCTCTGATGAACTGTTGCATTTCTGTGACATCAGTTGTAACGACTCCTTTTTCCTGTTTTTTTTTTCCCATTTATTTATTTTATTGCATTTTAGGTTTTGGGGTACATGTGAAGAACATGCAAAATTGTTGCATAGGAACACACGTGGCAGTGTGATTTGCTGCCTTCCTCCCCATCACCTACATCTGGCATTTCTCCCCTTGCTATCTCTCCCCAGCTTCCCACCCCCCACCGTCCCTCCCCTATTTCCCCCCAACTGACCCCAGTGTGTAGTGCTCCCCTCCCTGTGTCCATGTGTTCTCATTGTTTAACACCCGCCAATGAGTGAGAACATGCGGTGTTTAATCTTCTGCTCTTCTGTCAGTTTGCTGAGAATGATGGTTTCCTGGAAACGACTCCTTTTTCATTTCTGATTTTATTTGCATCTTATCTCCTTTTTTCCCTTCTTAGTCTACCTAGTGGTTTATCAATTTCATTTATTTTTTTAAATAAACCTTTTCATTTTGTTGATCCTTTGTATTTTTCAGTCTCTATTTTGTTGAATTCTGTTCTGATTTTTATTATTGCTTTCCTTCTACTCATTTTATGTTTGGTTTCTCCTTGGTCTTCTGTTACCTTGAGGTGCATTATTGCATTATTTATTTGAAATCTTCCTTTTTTGATGTGTTTATTGCTGTACACATCCTTCATAATGCAGTTTTTACTGTATACTATAGATTTTGGTGTGTTTTATTTTTACTTGCATTTGTTTCAATAAAAAATAGTCATTTATGAGCATGTTATTTAATTTTCATGTATTTAAAGTTTCCAAAGTTTCTCTTCTTATCAATTTCTAGTTTGATTCCATTTTGCTCTGAGAAGATACTTTATATCATTTTAATATTTTTTAATTTGTTGAAATTTGTTTGTTTCCTGACATATGATCTTTTCCTGGACAATGTTTGTTCCATGAGCTAATGAGAAGAATGTATATTCTGTAAATGTTAGGTGAAATGTTCTATAAATGTCTATTAGAGCCATGTGATCTAATATGCAGTTTAAATCTAATGCTTCTTTATTAATTTTCTGTGTAGATGATTTCTCTAATGCTATGAGTGTGATGTTGAAGTTGCCAATTATCACTGTGTTAGAGTCTCTCTCTCTCTGTAGATCTTATAGTATTTGCTTTATATATCTGGGTGCTCCAGTGTTTGTTGCATATATGTTTAGAATTGTAATATCTTCTTGCTGAATTATACTTTTATCATTATATAATGACTTTCTTTGTCTCTGGTTACTGTTTTTGACTTAAAGTATGTTTTATCTGATATTAATATAGTTACTTCTGCTCTCTTTTAGTTTCCCTTTGCATAGAGTATCTTTTAAAATTTCTTTCCTTTCAGTCTGTATGTGTCTTTCCAGGTCAGATAATTTTCTTATAGGTAGTATATAGTTGTGTTGTGTGTGTGTGTGTTTTTTAATTCATTCATTTAGTTTTTATTGTTTAAGTGTAAAGTTTAACCCATTTACTTTCAAGGTTATTATAAGAATGTAAGGGCTTACTCCTGTCATTTTATTGATTTCCATTTCTTTTCTTTTTGTGTGTAAACTTTCTTTCTTTCTTATTATCATTGCAGCTTGGTGTTTTTCTGTAGTAGTAACATTTAAATCCTTCCTCTTCCTTACTTGAGTGTTTACTCAAGCAGCAGTTTTTATACTTTCATGTTTTTTATAATAGTAAATATTGTTCATTCAGTTCCAAATACAGAACACCAGTAAAAATGTGTTGTGGGGCTACTCTAGTCTGTTCACTATATGGTGTCCCATATAACACATAGGCATTGCTCAGTATTTGTTATTCTTTTTTTAAATTTTTGTCTGATTAGATTATTTCAAAGGACATGTCTTCAAGTTCTAAAATTATGTCTTCTGCCTGATCTATTATTGAAGCTTTTGAATTTGTTTTTTATTTCATTAAATAAATTACTCAGTTCCAGAATTTTTGTTTTGCTCTTTTTCATGTTTGTTTGCTCTTTTTATCTCTTTTATGATGTTTGTTTGTTTTATCTCTTTTGTAAATTTTTCATTCATATCTTGAGTTGTTTTACTTGTATTGCTTTTTTGTATTGCCTAATATCTAATTGATTTTCTTTAACACCAATATTGTGAATTCTATTTCTGGGATTTCGTAAATTTCTTTTTGATTGGTATCTGTTCCTAAAGATTGCAACTGTGGGCAGTGGGTGCAGCATGATCAATGGCTGTAGCAGTGATAGGACAACCTTCTGGTGCCCAAGTGGTCCTCACTGATGTTGGCAGTGACTGTGACTTGTTGGATGGGCCTAACCATCCAACAGACTCACAAGTGATGCATGTGGTTTGGGGCCAGTTGCGGTGGTAGCAGCAGGCTGAGTGGGTCTGTCCTCAGGCCCTAGGAGGACTACTCAGATGCTAAAGAGGGTGGGCATGGCAGAGAGATCTCTAGGTTATTGGACAGCATTTTCAGGCATTAGAGAAGGCATAGCCACGCTGCACAGGCCTGTCCTCAAGCTCCTAGTGGTGCATACAGGCACTGGCTATGGTGGTCAGGGGTAGGGTGATACCTAGGCTCCCAGGTGGAGTGCTCAGGTGGGGACAGCAGCAGTGGCAATACAAACCTGCTTTTGGGGAGGGTGGGGTTTCTGCCAGTGCCTCCCTTATGAGCCTAGTGATGGCCACGGCCAGCAGCAGTGGCAGCTGGGAGGTGTAATCTGTCTTCAGGGCATGTGAAAATGTGTGGTCATCCCCCTGCTGGAGGGGATGAAGCTGCTGCCAGTGGCTCATGCTTTGACCCTGGAAGTGGCACCAGCAGCTACAGGCCGGTTAGTCTTTCCTCAGGGCATGTGAAAATGGGCAGCTTCCCCTCTTCTAGGGGTGTGGGGTGAGGGTTACTGCCAGTGGCTCTTCCTTAGACTCAGGTGGCAGCAGCCATCAGAAGCAGCAGCTAGCAGGGGCAGTAGCTGTAGATAAGGGATGTTGATGTGGCTCAGAAGCAAGGATAGTGCACCAGGACAGGATGTAGTCTGATGGGGGCTGGGTTCTCAAAATGGCTCCATGCTATAGTTTCCTAGGGCTGAAGGGTGTGTGGGAACCAGCATGAACTCCCTTTCTGGAGCACTGCCATTGCACAGTCTCCAGGCATGGCTCTGTGTTGGTCTCAGAGCCCCTGAGGGTCAAGGGGCTCTTCCTTGACTAAGATTGCAGGAGTCCACAGGGGAATGTGGACTGCTGGGGGATCTCTCATTAACCCTTTCCCTACACTGGGGAGCCTTCGGGCTTCACAGAAGATCCTGGCCCAGCAAGCTGCCTTGTTTCTCTCTTTTTTCCTTGCCTTTGGTTTTTTTTTTTTTTTTTTTTTTTTTTTTTTTGTCATTTCTCTGTCGAATTCCAGTGTTCTCTCTTAAATGATCTATTAGATATGTGATTATTTACTTGCAATTTTGGTTATTCTTTGTGGAGAAGGCAAGTACCAGATGGCTCTAGTCAGCCACCTTGAGGCCCCTCCAGCAATTTTTATTCTCTGCTTTGGAAATGTAATTTAACAACAACTTTGAAAGGTTATTTGGCAATACTTCCTAAAGCTATATCTATATATATCCTATAGCCTAGCAATTCTATTTCAGTTATATTCCAAAAAGATTTATTCAGCTATTTGCCAAAAGACATATGAAATGATGGTCATATTAGCACATATTATTGCTCACTGAAGACTTCTCACATGTTAACCAGCAGTTGAACTGATGTATATTTTGAAGCATTAATAAGTTGAAATATTTATAAAATGGTGATTAAATAACTACATAGATATAAATGAACACATAGGAATCTTAGAAATATAATATTAAATAAGAGAAGTCTGGCATGGAATACCTGCTGTATCAATCCATTTATTCAAATGAATAATGAAAAACAAGCATAACCAATCTATAGTATTAATAATCAAGACAGGGTTTATACATCAGTGAAGCAGTAACTGAAAGAGAGAAGAATAAAGACTTCTCTAGCGCTATTGATTTCTGTTATTCTGTTTGGGTAACAAATTATACAGATTTGTTTACTTTGAGGAAAAATATTCTTTTTGTATCAGCTCTTATTTCAACTTTCATTTTGGGTTCATGGGTCCATGTGCACTGTAGTTTGTTGTACAGGTAAACTGCAGGTCATGGAGGTTTGGTGTACAAATTGCTTTGTCACCCAGGTAATAAGCATAGTACCTGATAGGTAGTTGTTTTTCAGTTGTACACATAAAATTTTTGAACATTTTATATAAAATATACTTTGATAAAATTTTACCAAAAGTGTAGTTTGCCAGGTCTGCAGCATAATACTCCAGTTGTCCGTGCTTAAGTGTTTTTTTTTTAGAGTGGTATTTTGTCTGGAATAAAGAATTATCTTGCTAGTTTCATTGCCTCGCAATAGTAACAATGTGTGGATAGTGCTGTCACTCCTCAATACTCATTTGAGTGCTGATAGAATCCCTTTTGAGTTACTTCAGGTGGAGAACAACTTAATATACCACTTTCTATTGTATTTAGAATCCCTAATTGGCGTGACGGATCAGTCATAAATCCCTTGAGCTAATCATCATTTTTAACTTTATTAAGGTATAATTGAGATACATAAAATGGACTTATTTAAAGTGTGCAATTTGATGACAAGTTTTGAGCAGATGTGTATACTTATGAAACTATCACAATCAAGATAATGAAAATTTTATTCCTGAAAAAAGCTCCTTAGTGATTCTTTATAATTTCCTTCTCCTTATCTCCTATCTGCAGGCAACCGTTGACCTTCTTTCTAACTGTTAGATTAATTAGTTTGCCTTTTCTAGAATTTTATGTAAATAAAATACATATTTTTTTCTGGCTTCTATGACACTTTATTATTATTTTCAAATGTATTTTTGTTATTGTGTACATTAATAGTTAATTTTATTTTGTTGCCAACCCCCATGCAATTGTGTGAATATGCCACAATTTTTTAAACCATTCATTTGTTGATAAATATTAGGTTTGGTGCTACTATAAAGCTTCTATGAATCTCCGTATATAAATCCTCGGTGACCACCTGCTTTTTAAATTTATTTTTTATAAATACCTAGAATTCTATTGGTTGGGTCATAGGATATATACTTGTGTGTTTGTGTGTGTGTGTGTTTGTGTGTGTATATAACATTTTAAAGCCCAAAGTCTGTAAGGACTTTGGGAAGCTGAGGTGGGCAGATCACCTGAGGTCAGGAGTTCAAGACCAGTCTGGCCAACGTGGTGAAAACCCATCTCTACTAAAAATACAAAAACTAGCTAGGTGTGGTGGTGTGTGCCTGTAGGCCCAGCTACTCAGGAGGCTGAGGCAGGAGAATTGCTTGAACTCAGGAGGCAGAGGTTGCAGTGAGCCAAGATCGTGCCACTGCACTTCACAGCCTGGGCAACAGAGTAAGACTCAGTCTCCAAAAACAAAGAAAAAAAAAGTTTTAATGCAACTTAAGTACTAATATATAGTCTTTTATAAATAATTCATTGATTATACAGAGTGGTTCTATGCTGCCAAGAACTATCATAGCTGCAATGGGACTGATGAGCTAACGCTTCAGGATATGGGTTACAGGAGCCCTGATCAAAGATATCAGACACAATTCTTATTTCATCCATGGCAGAGTTAGCTTCCATAATCATGTAATTGCAGGGAAGAAAATAACCAATGAAACTCCATGGACTTCACTTTATACCTCATTTATATAAATTTTGAAATAGTAGATGCAGATTACATAGGATTAACCATCTGAAAGGGCCTTAGGACTTCAATAAGGTCAGGGCGAGATACAATAGAAGAAAGAAACAGATACAGCATGTAAACACAGACAAAAAAAACTTGCAGGTAAAACTCCTGGGATACATTCTCAGTTGCACAGAGTGAGCTTTATCTTTGTTGTGAGCCACCAAAAAATGTACAAATATGCCTTTTTCTCAGCTAACCCAAATCACCAATTTACTGAGGGTCTAGGGTCTTTTAAAGTTTACTAGTTGCATAACAAAAATTAGGTCCTCCATAATGTGAGTGGGCCTTACCAAATCAGTTGAAGGCCTGAATAGAAAAAATGTTGAAGGCCTTTCTCAAGCAAGCGGGAATTCTTCTAGTTGCTAAATATGTCTTTTACATTTATGCATTCCAGAATTGGAAAAATAACCACTGGATTAGTTCAGGAAACTGGTGGGCCCACTGTGAGGCAAACTTGAACTAAAAGTCCACTGATTACCTGTCCTCCATAAACCTCCACTCTCACTACATGGATTACATCAACAAATTGTTAAAACATTGCTTTTCCTTTCTTTTAAAACATTTTTTCAATTTTGTGTTTGTAAAAATTTATAGGGTACAAGTGTAACTTTGTTACATGGATAAATTGCCTAGTGGTAGAGTCAGGAATTTTAAGATATCCATCACCCTAATAATTGATTATAGCAGAAGTGTTCTATGCTGCCAGGAATGATTATAGCTGCAATAGGACTGATGAGACATTGTATCCATTAAGTTATTCTCATCTTCCACCTCCCCACTCTTCTGAATTTCCATTGTTTATCATTCCAACTCTAAGATAAGTATACATTGTTTAGCTCCCATTTATAACTGAGAATATGAGTAGACATTTTTCAAAAGAAATGGGCAACAAGCACATGAAAAAAAACTGAATGTCATGAATCATTAGAGAAATGCAATTTAGGAACCAAAAATGTGATATCATCTTACAGCAGTCAGAATGACTATTACTAGAAAGATTTAATAAAAAAAAAACCTGTCAGCAAGAATGCAGAGAAAAGGGAATGCTTATAGGCTATTGGTAGAAATGTAAATTAGTAGTGCCTCTATGGAAAAACCATATGGAGATTTATCAAAGAATTTTAAAATGTTACTTTTCAAAATACACTACTAAGAAAATTAAAATTGCAAGCCTTAAACTAGGAGAAAATATTTGCAGCACATATATCAGACAATGGAGTTATAGCCAAACTACACAAAAAACATTTTCAAGTGAGTAATAAAAAGAAAAATATCCCAATTTGAAAAATGAAGATAAAACTTGAATATATGTTTCATAAGTTTATATGAATGGCCAGGATGCACATGAAAAGGTGCTCAACATCACTAGTTATTAAAACGATGCAAATTGAAACTACAAGGCATCATTACACTCTATTAAAATTAAAAAGGTAAGCCATACCAAATGTTAAAAAAATATATAGAGCAACTGGAATTTCCATAGGCTGCTAGTGGAAATGCAAAATGGAATAAAGACTTTGGGAAACAGCCTTGTTTTTAAAATGTTACACACACACACACACACACACACGCACACACACACACACACACATATATATCGTATTACCCAACCAATAGAATTCTAGATATTTATGCAAAATAAATTTTTAAAACAGGTATTCATCAAGGATTTATATATGGAGATTCATAGAGACTTTATAATACCCTAAACCTAATGTTTATCAATGAGTGAATGCTTAAGCAAATTGTGGCATAGTCATACAACTGCATAGGGGTTGGCAACAAAATAAAATTAACTATTAATATACACAATAACAAAAATGAAGGTGAAAAAATATTTCTATCACCTAGTGGCATTGTAGTAATTGTAATGTAGCACAACACTTTGCAAGTGTTTGTGGTGATGCTGGTGTAAACAAACCTACTGCATTGCCAGTCTAGTATAAAAATCTAGCACACACAATTATGCACAGTATATAATATTTGATAATGATAATAAATAATTGTTACTGGCATGCATTTGCTATACTAAAAAATGCATCTGAAAATAATAATGTGTCAAAATAGCTAGAAATAAATATGTATTTTATTTACATAAAATTCTAGAAAAGGCAAACTAATTATCTAAAAGTTAGAAAGAAGGTCAATGGTTGCCTGTGGACAGGTGATGGGGAGGGGGAAATTATAAAGAACCACTGAGGAGCTTTTTACAGGTGTGAGCCACCAAGCCTCAAGTTGCATTAAAACTTTATCACTGTAATATAATTTTTATATTCATTACAAAAATAAATGTACCTATTTATGTAACAATACATTTTCATTTAGTCTAGGGACAAATATTTGCTGTTAATTTATCTTCAATTTGATACTGCATATAAGAAAGTATTTTCTGTTTAACATCAAACTATGTAAAGCATTTACTCCGTTGGAACTTGATGACAATTAAATTTCCCTTTTTTAAGAATGCAAAGGAAAGATTTGAAGGCTATCATCAGATCAAGTATTCAAAGGCAAACTTCCTTAAAAAAAAAGATCACTGCTACTCGATCTCGGATCTGCTTGGTTCTTATCCCATAAATAAGGGGGTTAAGAGCAGGGGGGATAATCACATATAAATTAGCCAGGAGGATATGGGTAGAACGTGGAATATTGTGGCCAAATCGATGAGTCATAAAGGAGAAAAAGGCTGGAGTGAAGAAAGCTAATATTACACACACATGGGAGCCACAGGTATTGAGAGCTTTGAACCTGGCCTCCCAGGATGGAAGTTTAAAGACAGCATGGAGAATCTTTACATAGGAGAGAGCAAGCAAAATTACATCCAAAAGTATCATAGAGATAAGGATCAATCCAAATAATATATTGACCTTTATGCTGACACAGGCCAGGCGGGCAATGCCCATGTGCTCACAGTAGGTATGCGGTATAATATTATGTCCACAGAATGAAAGCCTTAAAAGGAGAAATATAAGTGGAAAAACCAAAACAAAATTTTTCATTATTCCTACTCCAGCAATAATACAAATTACTCTGTTGGTGAGGATCGCGTTGTATCGAAGAGGGTGGCAAATGGCAACGTAGCGATCAAAAGCCATGGCTACAAGCATGAATGTTTCAATGCCTGTGAAGAGGTGTATGAAGAACATTTGCACTAAACAGTCCCCAAAGGCAATCTCATTGAAGCCAAACCAGAATATGCCCAGCATTTTAGGAATGCTGGCAGTGGACAGGCCCAAATCAGTCAGAGCCAACATGGCCAACAAGTAGAACATGGGCTGGTGAAGGCTGCACTCCAACTGGATCACAGATAGGATGATGGCATTCCCTAGGAGGGCAACCAGATACACTATACCAAATGGGAAGCCAAGCCAGAAATGTATATTTTCCAGTCCTGGGATTCCCAGCAGCAGGAAGGATGAGGGGTGAATACATGAGCTATTGGCTGAAGACATACTGGCAAGGGCTTCTGAGGGTCAAACTCATTCGAAGGAATTTCAGTTCTGCATAAGAATTCCCAGTGCCTCATCAATACTGGAATGCTGAATAGAAACAAAAAAAAATGTAATTAGTACATTTTATCTTGGTGCACAGAAGAAAAATCATGTTTTCCCTCTTATGTATCTTTCCATCTTTTCTCATTAATATATAGGACAAATGCTGAAGAATATTCTTTTGTTTGTTTGTTTTTTGAGACGAAGTCTCACTCTGTTGTTCAGCCTTCAGGAGAATATTCTTTAAGAAGTGAGTAGGTGTTTGGACGCTGGACTAGATAGTCTAAATTTTAGTAAGAACGTAATCATAACTGATCTTAGAAACATCATTGTTTTAGAGACTGACACATGTTTAAAGCACTGACTGAACTCCTCAGGCTCCCCATTTAGTTCCCCTACTCCTCACAGCAGACAACATGGGCTCACTTCATTTCTAAATAACTCATATCATATCCAATTTTATTCCCAAATGGGGAGTCATGCACATATTATCATTTTATTATGATCACCATCATCATTGGTATTATAAGAAAGAGGACAATTATAAAAATGATGGTGTCATCTAAGCATTTAATATTATTTAATTTACAAGGAAATTTCATATTACATCACTTTTACTCACATCAGCTGCATGAGGAAAACAGCATCGATCCTAGTCCCTAAATAAATGGATTTCTTTATTTTGTGTCTGCATTGCTGGTGCCTGCCTCCGCACTCAAATCGAAAGTGCTCTGTCACAGAAACCCCGCTCTCTGACCTCTTGGTATTGCTAGGACTCTTTACAAATGTATTTATTCCCTGGATTTTGTTTAGGCTCAAGCATTTAGTCCTTACTCGGTTTTTTTTTTTTTTTTTTTTTTTTTTTAGCTGAATTGCCCATCATGACGAGCCACCCCCAGGTTTCCCCACAATTTACTCCTTAAACTCTGTTATCTCTTGTATATCTTACTAATGTACTTGGTCTAAGTTCACACTTCTAAAGAAGATGTAACAAAAAATGAGTGGATTCTTAATTTTAATCCATAAGGTGTAGTCCCTTGAAGAGAATGAAATAGTGCTAATAAGGAGCATGATGTCTTCCTAGGAGCCAAGGAAGTCAGGACCTGGTACAATACCCAATGCACTTGAGATTTTAGGAAACCAAGGCAGAAGATTTTGGAAATAACAGAGGAAAAGTTTTGTGATAGAAAGAGAGGAAGATGAAATCTCTAAATACAAAATTGTATCTGGTGGAGGAATTCCAAGACAAGTGAGAGGAAAAGAAAAGAGGAATCAGCATCATCCTTCTATTAATTCTTCAGACATCAGTTTTAATGACCCATTTTTAGAAAGGGTCTCACTGAACTCAGTACACTGGCTTGTAATATTCCCTTCAAGAAACCTCTTATTCCACCTGATAGTACTTTATATGACTATTTAATGAATGCCTGAGTCCCCATTTAATTGTGTGCTGCATGAAGAATTGATGGGGGAGGTAGGGAGTGGTTCTGTTCATCATTATTTCCATAGCACAGCATCTGTAATATAGCTGCCACTCAAAATATGTTTGTTAATGAAATACTGACTAAGCAGATAATTATTAATTTTAACTTCTGGTTAAAAGTCCTGATGTCAGAAGGGTCTGGCAGAAATCACACAATGTTATCTGGTAGCTAAGGAGTGAGAAATGAGAAGGCAAACTGTGATGCTCAAAAGAGGATACTGTGGGTCAAAAGGGAAGACGATTCTGATCTGAGAAAATTCATCAGTGGGCTGTGGTATAATAAATATTTTATTTTAGGGTAAACATTCTAAGGAGAATTTAGTCAAAGAAGGTGATCAGAATAATCAATGGAAAATAATACATGATTAATGGACTTAGGTATGATTTATTCTGTTCATGAAAATTTGCCTGTTGTGCTGTTCTATGGCATCAATGAAATATTAACAAAATAGTTTTCTAATGGTACATTCTCTAAAATCCCAGTCTTTAAATCTTTTATATTAACTTGTTTTTTGCATAAGTTATTATTTATTCCATATTATTTAAACAGTAGAGTCGTGAGCAGGACACAAAGAAAATGTCAGAGAACTGCAAAATCTGTAATCAGAGCCTTAAACTTAGGACAAAATTTAGGAGGCCTCTAGGTAGGAGAGAAATGGACAAAGAGAGGTATTAGGAGTGAGATTGCTGCAAAACAGCCTCATTCTGCATACCAGTTACGTAGGAGAGCTTCATTTTCACTATGTGGAAGATCTCTATCCCTACATAGCATAAACAACAAAAACTCAAGAACTGTGTTAAAACTAGAAATATGGGCCGGGCGCAGTGGCTCACATCTGTAATCCCAGCAGTTTGGGAGGCTGAGGCAGGCGGATCACGAGGTCAAGAGATCGAGACCACCGTGGCCAACGTGGTGAAACCCCGTCCCTACTAAAAATACAAAACTTTTCCGGGCGTGGTGGCACGCGCCTGTGGTCCCAGCTACTTGGGAGCTGAGGCGGTGGCATCTCTTGAACCCAGGAGGCGGAGGTTGCAGTGAGTCGAGATTGCGCCACTACACTCCAGCCTGGCGACAGAGCAAGACTCCGTCTCAAAAACAAACCAACCAACCAACCTAGAAATATGTCCTATTAAGTATTCTGCACTGATGAGTAAAGGAAGACTTTTCTCGGACACCAGAATTGTTCCTCTACACAATACTCAGCAGGCCTAGTTCAAAGAGCATTTGCTTATCTCTCAGGAGTCTGCATCTGGGGAAAATTTGGAGACAAGGTAACGTTAAAAATATCCAGGTTATATGTTATCCAAGTGTTTTCCTTGTAAGAGCTATATGCCAAATATATATAAACTCAAATAAGATCTCCTAATCCATACCAAATAGATAGAAGATTAGCTAAATAAATACATTTTCTGATCCAGGAGAGGGACAGAGGATTTGGATGGGTTCTGCCAATCGTCATCTTTATGAAAAAAGGAAAAGGGATGGCATTTTAAAAAATCCTCTTCATTTTCAATTACATGTTTTTTACATCTGTGTCTTATGTATTTAATGTTTAAAAAGTTGATAATATGCTACACTATAAAACAAGAGTGACTAGTAATGTTTACATTTATCCTTATATGCACATATCAGAGTGGAGGAAATCCATTGTATGTTTTTCAGAAACTACATACAACTATTTGGAATCTGGAGGTGTTAAATTATTACTCTCTTCACCATTAGTGACAATTAAATAAAGGTATTTTATTTTATAATCAATAAAATATATTGATTTGGAAAAAAACTGAGAATGCCAATTTTTTTGTATACCAAATACAAAACAATTGTGTAATCACTAATTTACATGATAAAAATCAGTAAAATTCGGCTTAAAGAGAGATCTGAGAAAGGCGTAGGGAAGTGGCCAAGGGAGAGAGGAAGATAGAAGACAGGAGATAGAAAAGAGAAGACAGGAAAGAAGAAAAAGATTAAGACAGAGAAATTCAACAATGCCTCAACAACACCAACTTGCTCCTTTGGCTATTTATTTTTTTCTTTTTGTTTTCCTTATTGTTAAAAAATAGTATACTTAATGTTAAAAGAATGGATAAAACACCAAAATATACAGAATCAATTGCAATTCTATGTTAGACATAAGCATTTATGCTACTTTGGTTTATCACCTCCAAATTAATATTTGCATCATATATACATTAAATGAGGGGGTTAAATCAACGCATCCAAGTCTAAACCTTCCCAGTTTATATGATCAAACAGGTATGGCAGCCAGGCCTGAATTCAACTCACCAACCTTATCTATAGCCAAATTGAAGAAATCTAAAATCCTGACTGATAACTGCTCCAAGTGTATCTTAGCTCCATATCTATGGTTCAAGCACAAAAGCTTATTCTAGGATTGAAAATCTCCTCCTTGACCAGGAATAGCTGCTCTCCTGGGTCCCCATGAGACGAGAGCATTAAGGACAAAGAATTCATAAATTCTCACTACAGGTTTAGGGTGGTAAAAAAAAAGCACATGTGCAAAGGAATCGTGTGGGACTTTCAAGTTTCTCCCCACAGGTCAACTTGCAAGAAATTCTCATTTTCTAACTACTCACTTTCTGATTACTCTGTTGCTATTAGTCCCACAAGAATAATACCTGAGCCAGCCTATAATTATGTACCTTGCTGCTCAGGGCTGTCATATTCTCCAATGACCACTTTTCCCCAGTAAATATTGTTTATTTTTCCTAGAAGTCAGGTAACTAATTGAGCACTTATTTAAGATTATTTGCTTAGATATTTTTTGCATCTATAATGTACTACCCCAAGAAGCTTATGTGCTGGTTGCATAGATAATGCCAACCATTTATATATATTCAAATAATTAAGTTTCAAGTTTTATGGTGCTATTTAGAGTTATAGAAATTCCAAGAACCAGTAAGTTTTCTTGGCTTTCTAACTCAATTTTCTTTTGAATGGGTTTGAAAGGTGGCACAATAAAAAGTGCAAAGTCAAATAGAAACAAATATCATTTAAGGATATCACAGGCAGACTATATATTGCATCTAGACTGGGTATGTATAGAATCATGGAAGACTGCCTCTCTTCTGAGAAAAAAGAGCAATTCCGGCTGCTATCAACTGTCCTGGCGCTCACATCCTGACTAAGACGATTCCCACTTAACAAACAATTTCACCAAATATGAACATCAGGCAAATTTACACTGTGTCCATGACAAAGGATTGAAATTAAAACAAGATCATTCCATAACAACGTCTGAGTGGAGACAAAAAGCACAATAGTGCCATTATTTAAAAAAGAAAGTTGTCCTTCTGGCTAGTATGAGTGACTATGTCTATATTGTCAAATACAGCTTTAGCCCTACTTCTTTCCCCCGACTCCTATATAAAAATTATTAAGACATCCAATAATAGATTTATCTCCTCTTCTCAATACTATCTGTTTCTGAAAACCATCGCCAAAACAAGCTCAAATCAAATATCAAACTCTTTCTTGCACACTCACACTTAAAGTACCAACATTTCATCACAGCATGTGGTTTTCCCTTATTGCAGCAAGTAACAAATCCTACATTTTTTACCATAAGTCTATTCCTGGTGGTTACTAGGTAGAGGCCGTTGATATGGCCTGTGTCTGAGACTACCAGTTGCTCCACATAGTCACCCAGTAATTGGCATTCTTAGGGTTGTTTTGAACCATTCTAATAGGTTTTAGTCTTACCTCACTGGTTTTTCTAGGTTGTATTTCCCTGAAGTCAAATGATGCTGAGCATCTTTTCAAGCATTTATTTGCTATGCATGTCATTTTCTTTGATGACATGCTCATTTAAATTCTTTGCCCCTTTGTTTTTGATTGGGTTATTCATTTTCTTATTGTTGAGTTTTTAAAACTATTTTCAAAATTTTATTTTATTTTTAATTTAAAAATAAGTGTATGTTTTCTGAATAGAAATCTTTCAACCACATATGTCTTTTGCA